CTCCTAAACCGTTGAATCTACGGGAAAATTGTATAAGACCTTTTTTGTAGAGGACGACGAGATCTACAATTTGCATGTAAAAATTTTTCGCTAGCATTAATATTTAAAGAGTTATGGACGAAAAACGAAAAAACAGTTTTTTGCAAATTACTCGTTAACTATTGACGCTAGCAAGAAATTTTTACATGGAAATTGTAGATCTCGTCGTCCTCTACAAGAAAGGTCATGTGCAATTTTTCCGTATATCCAACGGTTTGGGAGTTATTGGCCAAAAACGAAAATTTGGAAGAAATTGAAGGGGTACCCCTTGGAAAAATCTCGGAAAAATCGAAAATTTTGTTTTGTTGTTTATTATTAGCAATGTACCTCCGACGTCTGATTTCTTTTTAAAAAATGCGTTTCTAAAGTGCATAAACTTTTGGGATTGACTGTATAGCCAATACATCCTTAAAAACTTTTTCAATTTAGCACACTCTCGCCATCCCTGGATGTAAACATTAAATAAATCTTCTTACTTAATTCTGGACCGACTCTACGTGCGGTCGTGAGAGGCCCAGCTGCTCTTCTAATCTATAAATTATCAAAGAAAAAGAGTATCCAACAATGTTCAAACATATTTAATACATTATTATACAAGTTATTTATTTACCGGAATGTCTTTCAATAAATTGATTCCTTCATCATCGGTACAATTCATATAAGCCTGAAACAAGGAACGAATTAAGAGATAGAAATTAGATTATAATCGTCGTATTAATATTTACTTCTACTAAATTTGCAGGACTTGGATATACAGAACAAATTGCTTCTGCAATTTCCAGACTGCTTAGATTAAACTGGCGAAGCTGCTGTTGCCATAATCTTTTCAATCCGTTTCCATCTTTATCTACTTTCACAGTGTTCTTATTGTCTCCCATTACATACCAATCAAATTTGTTTGACAAGCCTTTATTTTTCTCTAATTTGTAAGGTGTCTCCGCTATAGCTTTTGTACATTGATATACCATTAGAGCCAAATCATGACGACTGTTAATCAGCCTGCTACTACAGCCAGCAATAATTTGTACTTCATTGAGACATGATTCAAGACGCCTTCTTGATATCTCTGGGAAGTTTTTGAAATCTTGATCACCAGTCTTCCCCGCTTGAGTCTTAGCTTTACCTTTACCTGCCCCTTTCTTGTGGTATGCAAAATAATCTTCGATCTCAAAAATTACAAGAATTATATTGGAATTTGGTAATAAAGATTTGATGCTAGAAATAGATGCAGAAAAGCTGCCAGCCTCTACTTCTGTCACAGCTTTATCCCAATTCCATATTAAGAGTATTTGATTAACTCTCTCAATATCTGATACTGTACATATCTGATTATCCTCATTGACATAACTATGTTCAACATTTCTTTTCCATGTAATGCTATTTGAAATTAATTCTGTGTTAATACTATATTGTACATTAGCTTCCATCAATGTATTTATAATTACTGCAAAGGCAGCAGAATTCTCAATACCTTCGTCAAGGACCACTTCCACGAACTTCATACATTCACCAGGTCTCAGATTTTTCAATCTCTTAGCAGCGATGGTTTTCAGTGCCCTGTCTCTTGTTAATTGATCTCGTTTCTTCAATTTCTCTTCATTTAGTTGATTCTTATTTCTTTTACCCACAGGTTTTTTTCTCTTCTGTACATTTATGTTTTCTTCATCTGAATCAGATGTGGTATTGGGTAAAGTTTGTTTTCTCGATTCCTTGTCATTGCTTCGAGATGACAATGCGCAAGTATTAAAAACAGGAGAATTGTTTATATTACTGATGACATTGTGTGATTCACCTACGTTATCTTTATCAAAGTCATAATCAAATTGTACTTCGGGAAGCTCAAACTCACTTGAGTCAGAATCATCGAAAGATTTCTTATTTTCATTATCATTCCTTCGTTTTTGTGTGAGCTCGATAGACGAAACGGACTCGTTCGAATCACTTAACACGACGACTTCCGACATTTTAATTAATCGTCCAGTGAAACACAATTAATTCAATTGCTCGTGTCACGATCATTTACAAATCTTATTTTGAAATGTTTTGAAAAATAAGTACGTCACTATAGTCTACTCTAGAAACCTATAGTGTGCACATCTCAAAAATCCCATGAAGTGCCCGCCCTGTCCTATAAATAATTCATGATCTCCACATGTAAAGTAAGCTTTATCACAATATATGTGTGCTTTCTGAAAATCGAATGCTCATGTTTTTTAGAACATTCTTCATATAAGAAATAAATACTGATTTATTTAGGATTATCTTAATTATTTTCATAGTCGGAGAAAAACTTGGAAAGACGTAAAATTTTATCTATCCTCGTAACTGTCGATCGTCTGGTTAATCGTAGGCGTCGGTGAAAATTTACTGTTCTGAATATTATGTAAATTACAACTACACATGTACCTACCCTCTTGTATATCATTCTCTTAATTGCATCTTTTACTTCTTGCCTCTTACCATTGAAATCGATTCATAACAAGAATCTTCTGCGACATAAATTTCTTATTTTAGATATTCAATATGATATAGCTGTACATACATGTCCATAATGGTTTTCATATCATGCATATAATTTTGTTTTTTTTCTATGTTAGATCGCAATATATTGTTTTTCATTGTTGAAAATCTAATCATCGGATCGTAACGTTACGAAATATAATTAATGTGTTAACACTACATGACTCCTTCCATCGAACACACTAAAGGTTAGTTTCACGATAGAAGGTATTGATTTAACGTAATTTAAACAATTGACTATTATATAATAATCCTGTGAATTTTAGTGTACACGTATGTAAGCTAAGGGATGATAGACATGTGAGAAACATTATAAACGATTACAGTGTGTGTTGAAAGGATCCAGCTTATTTATTAATTGAGCTTCGTCGTATAATGTTAATTTCCACATCAACAATGCCTTCAACGTCGTTAAATAGTTCTCGTATACCAAGTCCCATCAGTGATACTTTTGATGACAATCCGAGTAGATTAACTAAGTACTTGCATCAATTAGCTGGGTGCTATGAAACTGAAATTGATGTGCTTGCAAAAGATCATTGTTACGCTCGTCCATGGAATTGGAGGCCAGAAAATGTCTATGCAAAGCCAATAAAAAAATTGTTTTTCCCCAAGAAAGATTTATCATCGTAAGTATTAAAAAGTAATGTTATAAATGAAATCAGTAATAGGCAGTTATATTATATTTTTCTCATGTATCAGGGATAAAGGTACTCCGGATGAAGACATTGATATCGAAGAAGATATCAACGCACCAATGGTGCCACCAATTGATTTTACAAGAGTCAAACACCAGATGGATGAATTACAACAATTGTCAAACTTTGCTAGACCAGATGAGAATGATGATTGGGAAGAGAAACTTGATAAAATTTTGTGGACGCCTGTTCAGAATCGTATATTCACCAAAGTATTAAAAATATTGAATTCAGAGAGACTTACAAGATTATCTAAGGTGAACAATCCGATAGAACCAATTTATCGGAGGACGTCAGTTGATACAGCTGCAAGAAGATTTAGAGAAACATTGGCTTCGGCTGGCTGGGATTGGAGAGTCGCTCAATGGTTGCACCATTTATTGTTCGATCATCTCCCTCAAGAATATCTCGGAATCTATCTTGATATATTACAAAATTTAAGGCTGAAAATCCCTCAGCTCATCGATAAGATGATTGCTGTGCAACCAAATATTAATGCCAAGACTGGTTCTATAACATGGGAAACCCTTGGATCACTTCTTAAACGTACATGGGATCCAGTTGCTCCAAGTTTAAATAGCAATAGACTAGTAATTATATTTTACCACGAAGAGTTATATCATATAATTGTATGTTTACGTGTATTATAATTGTTATTTATATTACAGAAAAAGTTACCAGGTAATCCGATTTTAATAATAGTCCCATCCGGAGTCGGATTTAGCATGTCAGCTCGGCAACATAAGTGGATTTCACAATTAGGAGCGTTAGGAATGGTCGTTACTGTTAATACACATTTAGGCTTAGCAGCCAATAGAATGACTATGATGGTTTGTATCGATCAGCTAGTTCAAGCCACCAGAACTAAAATACAAGACATTAGGAGTGACTGTCCTGGTAGACCTATAATTCTTGTTGGTTTTAATACGGGTGCTGCTCTTGCTTGTCAGGTAAAGTCACTTACAGAAATAAATTTTATATAGAAATATTCAGTATTAACTGTTAATGTTTGTAGGTTGCACAAATTGAACACGTAACTGCAGTTATTTGCCTTGGATTTCCTTTCAATACAGCTGAGGGGAAACGAGGTACACCCGATGATACATTATTGGATATTCGATGTCCAGTCATGTTTGTCATAGGGCAGTGTGCCACACTTATAAGACACGAAGATTTGGAAGAAGTCAGGGAAAAGATGATGGTTGAAACGAGTTTAGTCGTGGTCGGAACGGCCGACGACAATTTAAGGATATCTACAGTGAAAAAGATATCGAAAGGTATTACGCAAAATATGGTGGACAAGTGTATCTTGGACGAGATAGGAGATTTCGTCGGGACTATACTTTTACAACCACACCCATTGCCATTAAGATCGACGTCGTTGTCGAACTACGAGAATAAAAACAATAGAAAAGAACGAAAACGAAGGAACTCTACGAGTAGTTCTGTCGAAAGTGAACCGACCTCACCCACCGTAAAGAAATCCCGACCAAACACACCGATTTCTACAGTGGTGTCCGTTGGTCAAAATACACAGTCGACCGCGATCTCTCGAGTAGGTACATTCAGTACACAGTCGAACATAATTGCAGTTAGTGGAACACATGCGAATCATACTCAAACTGTAAAGCGGAAACCTCGAGTTATCAACAACCAGAAGGCTCCTTTTGTAGAACATCTAATAACATCGAGACTTTCTGCACAGGTAAGTCAATGATTCTTATTCTCATTCTTCCCTTCGATAACGTGGCATTCTTTTTCAGTCGAATTCAAATTCAGATAACGGCGGCATAACATTGAACATTGGCTCCTTAGCAAGCCTAGCGCCGATCGGTCCGATACGTCTAGCTCCAACGTCATCAGGCCAAGTTGTATCTGCGGCGATTAAAACTATTCCTAAACAATCAGTCGCATCGAATAAAGTGCCTAAAATTGTATCAAACGTACAATTGCAGAACGTATCGAAAATGAAAACCATTGTATCATCGGGTAAAGGTTTTCCTAAAGTGATATCGCACAATTATAGACATCTCAATATTCCGGATAAAAGCGGTGATACGAAGCTAGTTAACGTACTGACGACGTCGGGAAGCCAGATCAGAGTTAACACTTCGAATGCAGCAGGTAAATTAATAAATACTTCTCCTAGCTGTTTGTATGTACATGTATTCACTACACTCATGTTCTACTGACATGTTTTTACAGCGATCCATAGCAAGTCTACGGTCGGCACGTCGAATGGAACATTGTCAAATATCTTACAAAATGGAAAAAATTCGCTCGCAGTCGCTAGTAGTTCGTCATCTGCACGTGTATCAGTACCTCCCAGCATTTTACTAACACCATGCACAAGCACTTCCGTGACAACTAGTGTTCCGTCCACTACATCGCCGATAACAAAAGGTAGAATATTATTATCCAATCAGTTACTAAATAATTTACCTACATCATAATAGTTAATTTACAATTGATCATATTGAACGATCAAAAGAAAAGAATTATCAAATTGATGCAAATTATTGGGTTGGCAACTAAGTCATTGGCGATTTCAAATAAGAAGGAAAATTCAGAATTTTTGTTAAAAAATATAACTTTATTCAATTAGATATTGCCCGTTCTTGTGGATGACCTTTTTCCATCGTTTTGGCAGTGTAAAAATTCCCCGTTCGTAAAATGTCTGCTCTTTGCTATTAAAAAACTGAATTAGGTGTGATCTGACATCATCCGCGTTATTAAAAATTTTACCATTTAAAGAGTTTTGCATGGAACGAAATAAATGGTAATCCGAAGGCGGAAGATCAGGGCTATATGGTGGGTGTGACAAAACATCCCAACCCAGTTCCAATAACTTTTGCCGAATGACCAAAGATGTGTGGGGCCTAGCGTTATCATGACAGTATCAGGAAGACAACACCCTTCTGATTTGACAATACCGACCGCTTTTCTTTAATTGCATCGTTCAGTTTGTCGAGTTGTTCAACATACACATTTGAATTGATCGTTTGGTTCTGTGACATGAGTTCAAAATACAAAATTCCTTTGTAGTCCCACCAGACTGACAGCATAATCTTTTTTTGGTGAATCTCTGCTTTTGATGTTGTTTGGGCTGGTTGATCTTGCTTCACCCACGATCTCTTGCGAGTAACATTGTTATAAACTATTCACTTTTCGTCGCCAGTAACTAGGTTTTTCAGAAATGGATCATTTTCATTGTGTTTCTGAAGCGAATCACAGATGCTTATCCGTTGCGTCAAATGAATTTCCTTTAGCTGGTGAGGGATCCATAAATCAAGTTTCTTGACATAACCAAGGGTTTTTAATTTTTTTTCAATGCATGTATGCGATACATCTCTGCAATGTCTCGTGTTGTGCTGTGACGATCTGAATCGATAATGGCCTTGATATGGATTTCATCCACCTCGACTGAGCGGCTAGATCGTTGTGCATTTTCCAGTGAAAAATCACCAGAACGAAATCTTTCAAACCAATTTCGACACTGCCTTTCTTTTAAGGCTTCATCTCCATATACGGCACATAAGTTCTTTTGTGCTTGTGATGCGTTCTTGCTTTTTCGAAAGTAATACAATAAAATGTGTCGGAAGTGCACATCCTGTTTTTCCATTTTTAAATTGGAATAAAAACAAAACTAAAGAACTAATCGATATAATTTTTTACTAATTAAAAGTAGAAGTCTACACAGTAAGAAAAAAATACTCTGACCACGTTAACAACACAAAAGAAAGTGTAGAGTGAATCTATCGACAAAAGCGGCAATGACTTAGTTGCCGACCCAATACATTTATTGTTCCGAATAGTAATGTTTTTGAATCTCTTTTGTTTAAAAGAGAGAATACCTTTTTCTGAGAAAAAAATGTTCTTGTATATATGAAAATGAAAACTACGTTACTGTAAGTGTATATATTTGAAATATATTTTATATATTCGTAACACGTAAAAAAAGGGAACGAGAATTCACCTCACATTGAAAAGCACCCAAAAGACATTAATTAAAATATTACATGGATAAATATTAAGAAGTTTGAATAGTTAAAGAAGTTCTCAAGTATTTAGCATATAGTGATTAAAAGAACAAGAGCACTGGAAGGAAGCATTCATGTCATCTATCAACACGTTTATCAAAAGTTTATATCATACAAATTTCTATTATGTAAGTTTCTTTAATGTCTATGTATTAGTTCTAGAATTCGTATTTGGCAACAATTTGTTTTATTAATACAAGTAACTCCTGTTTTTATTCATTGAGATGATATCGGTTTTACGTTTCTATTAATATCCAATATGTACATTTTTTATTTATCATACGAATCATATACGTACGTACATATAAAGATAAAACGTATCGTGCATGAACACCATTACTGAAATTATTTTTTTAATAAACGTGGATCTTGATCGCTCGTATTTCTTTCTTAGAATAAATCCAGTAAAATTGATAGATCTTTTCTTTTCTAGTCATAATTTTTGTTTTCGTACATACGCATTAAAATATTCTTTAGCACGTGTTGTAACATCAAATCTCTAAATTTAGCATGTATTTATGTTACTTTTACAATTAATATAAGTTTATATTTCTAAAGCATCGGAGGTAATATGCTGTAAATATTAAATTTCTTTTATTTTGCATTAAATAAACATTTCTCCATGTAAATTGAATTTATTTGTCTCCTTGCCCTGATCCCGTTTAACGTTATAAAAATACTTCCTACCATGTACTTCACATTATCGAAAATTAGTATTCCATCTATTAAATTAACATAAATTATATTGTCGAAACAAAAGTTCTGTACGTAAATTAGAAATTTAGGACACATTAAGTTTGACGTTTATTAGATTCTTGCATGTTTCATCTTTGAAGATACGATGGGATGAATCTTCATCCCTGAATAGTGTTCATAAGAGCGCAGTGAATTTTTTGTTCATAAGCTAGTTTACGTTTTAAAAGATGTTGAAAAATACGTGTGTGTTTTATAGTGATGGACGACATGGCAACAACCAGTAGCTCTTCGCACGCGATGCTCACTTCTACTCATTCCTTGGATACATTCAAGAAATCACAATTACCTCGACAAGTAACGACCAGTAATAAGAACGATAATAATAATTCTCATAATGCGTCATGCGGAAATATAATCATGGTCGAGAATTCCCTTAACGCTAAACCTGCTTGTTCACCGATGATAGTGCCAATAAGCAGTCACGGTTCAGGAACAATTGTACCGCTGTCTAATAAACTAAAAGTTGCTCAATCCACGAAAACGATGCCAAAGATCACGGTGAACGCGTCCAATTTACAAAGAATCCACAAGCCACAGATCGTGCAGAAACATTCGCTCGTAAACGAGATCGACGACGATTTAGGTAACATATTAGATATACCAATAATATTTGCAAAGGACGATGACAATTTAAATTCTATCGAGAAGAGTCCATCGGTGTCTCAGACCGTGCCCGTAGACGTTCACGAGAAAAACCCGACCAAATTAACCAGCAACACGAAAGTTGTTCTAATAAGCAACAAACAGGACAAACAATCGGCTAACAAATTCGTCACACCTTCTCAAGCCATCATATGTCCTAATGCAAATACACAGAATTTGAATCATATAATATTACAGACGAAACACCAGAACCCTGTGTTGTCGAAAACTAAAACGATCCCGATACAAACCCGTTCGAGTCAGCCTACTGTTAAATATACAAAAATAATTCTTGCAAAAAGAAATTCTCAGACGTATCAAAATGACAAGAGCGAGCAAGTCATTTTAACGAAGCCGCTTGATAAAATGAACGCTAAATTGTTAAATGTTGATGCGAGCGAGCATCGGTACGCACAGGTCACGACAAAATCAAAGATTGAAGATAATACAATAGGCGAAACGTTAGAAATAGAGGACGCTATCAAAATGAACATCATAGAACGGAAAAGAATTGAATTACCGTCACAGACAAGTGACAATATAAAAGATGGTTTGATTGAAACAACATTAAATGATGAGAATAAGTCGGAATGTACTAAAGTGAATAATGTAACAAATTTGTAAATATAAGATATTTAACTCTAATTGTATGTACATATGAGAGCGAGTCTGTACTCTAGTTACGTGAAAATCTATTGTACATCACAGTAATTGCTGCAATATTTAATTTCTCGTATCTCTCTCACTTTGGACACACTATTATTGAGTGATGGAATATACACAGGCGTAGAAAGTAGACTTTGTTTCACGTAATTCATGTTACATACAGTATTAACTTTTACAAGCTTTATGAAAATCCATGTATTCATCCGCAGTTAATTTAGTATTATTTATGCTATTAATATACTCTTTAAATTCACTATTTTGAAAATGATGATTTGTTACCGTTCTTTTGGTATTTGTCTTTTTCGGAACTGGCACTGTTGGTTTAAATACAACACCAGTAGGATCAAATTCGATACACAGTTCTTCGGGTGAGCTGAAATAAATTAATTAATTAATTATACTGTTATAAATTTAAAAAATAGTTATGAACTTACAGTTTTGAAATTTGTGGAGATAAACTGCCTTCACCAGTCGGCGGCACAGCCCATGCTATGTTCTTCGCCATTTTTTGTACAATAACGTGATAATGCCGCTAGTAGTAAAACATGAAAACAGTATTTATGATACTTATTTAACTCATGTGCATTTATTATATATGTAAATACATACCTGTAAAGCCGTAAGCTCCCACAATGCAGAACAATGTGCATTGCAACATTCAGGTTCTTCTAATTCTGCTTGATAAAGGCCATCTCCGCTGGTACAATCAGTATCCAGTAAGATGTCTGCTGTTTTTCCAAGTTGCATAGTTTGTTTTATAATACCAAGAACACCGAGCGCAGAATTATGTTGTAATTGCAAACTGAGAATAGCTATCCTTTTGATAAATGCTATTAAACGACTTTGTGTGATTCTCTTTCTTCTAAGGATCAGAGCTTGGACTAATACCTTTATAAGAATCTCTGTCTCTGAATGAGTTTTGCCACAGTGGATGTTCAATAGAATTTTATACAAATGTGCGTAAAACCTGCATAAAAATTATATGCTATTATGAACGTAATTTTAACGTTAGTTCTTTTTCATCTACTATGAGTTTCCTTTTTATACAGACCTGTAAGGATCAATGTTTAAAGCCGAGCCTTGTCCTGACAATATTGTAAATACACAATGAATACAATGCAATTGATCTCTCAAGCTTAAATTACCCTCTGCCATCAGTTTATTTATAGCGGCTACCAAATCTTGGTAAAAATCTAAATTTATACAGTGCGCGAATCTGCAATTATCAAATGTTGTTAAAGAACATACAATTTACTGTACAATTAAATTCAGTATAATCCTGTCATACTTTGCAAGTCCTTCCAAGCAGATCGATAGAATCTTACTGTTAGGAGCTTCTTTCAAAATTCTAAAGTATATTGTGAACACCATGCTTGTTATCTCAGTAAGCAACTTTTGTTTTGTTTGCTTATTCTCTTCTGCTTTGGTTTCAAGCAATTCTTTCTCTACTTCTTCGAGCCTCTTATTTCTTTTCCTTTCTCGTTTGCTTAAAGCGAGAATCCTCTGTTTATGTGATGTAAGTTTCTTCTGTTTAGTCTCCTCCTCCTTTTCTTTATCCAAATTTACGTCTTTTATTCGAAGCGATAAGAGCACTTGCAGAACTTCAGAATGGACGGAATGAGCTTTCAATTTGATGTATTGATTTAATTTGCGTACCATCTGAAATATAGCATAATAAACTTTCAAGATTTGTAACATGACACAGTAGTGTTAGTTTCTTACTTTAAGTGATAATTCCGCGCGTTTGTCTTCCTTAAATATCTGAGAAATGCATTTGAGGACCTCTTGCCTTACGAACTCGTGTTTGTTATCCAACAGTGGTACAAGGAAGGTTGCTACGTTGACGGAATAATTAAAGTAAGGATGAGTCGTCAGAAGACCACACATGCATGTTACCGCAACTTTCCCTAATTCAAGTTCTTGCTCTCTTATGTGCCGCGTATCACCCTTCCTTTTTCGTAATATGTTACACATCTTTTCCAATTTCTGTAGATAACGTCTATAGTATCTTAATAACGTAACTTCATAATTTTGCAGCGCATACGTTTCCTTTTTAACTGAAATGAAGATAAACATGTGTAGTTACAACTTCTAACAATTATATTATTCTCATATTTCACTTGTCATTAGATACGTACATCTTACACCTTCTTGTTGTATTTGATGGATTTGATACGAAGGCAACAAGTCTTTAAAAACTTCGAGTAAAGAAACAGTTGCTAATTTTCTCACAGTAATATATACCTCTGGATTAGTTTCTTCCATTAATTCCAACAAGACTTTAAAATTCTCAACCTTGGCCTCTGGTGACTCTAGAAGACTACTAGACAATAATCCTATTTTCAAACGTTTGGATCTTAATACTTCGTTACGACACGCTAAGAGTTCTACCATAGACACTGGTTTCTTATCCTCATCATCCTAGAAAATTAATAATTTGAAAATATTTTTATACACAACATGATATTCCATGAGTTAATCAGATCCTACATCTAAATTCGATTCCATATCTGCACTACTAGCATCATCATCCTGGTCTTTATCAAATAGTTCTTCATCGTCTTGCTCATCAAATTCATTTACATTATTATCTTCGATCAATCTTTTCTGTATGACTCCGTTTTTAGTTTTTGTAGGAAGCAACATGCGAACTCTTTTTATCCCTTCTTCCCCAACTACTTTTGACATACTATTTTCATATCTTTCTTCCAGTGTATCCTCATCCTTTCTTCTCTTATTCTGTTGTTTATCAACTGTTCTAAAATATGTGTAAAATATAATATCCTTAATCAAAATGTGGTCACTAAAGAATCATGTATGACATACTTAGGTAAACGTATCTGCTTCAACAGATCATAGGATTTATTAGAAATAGCTTCTTTTAAAAAATCCAAATCATTATCTTCCACCATATTCATAAGATCCTCTCCATGATCACTTTCTTCCTCTTCTGCAGGCTCCGCATGTGGAACTACTGCTTTCTGAATTTGTTTCTTCGCTGGTTTGTGTCTTCGTGCTTTCAGTTTTCCTTGTTTTGTAAGTTTATTTCTTTTTTGATTACTTCTTTTAACTGCGCTGATCTTTAGTTTCTTCTGCATGGTCAAGAATCAATTAATGCAATTTCGCACAAAGGTTACTATTGCCGTTAACACTAAAATATATACTTACTGCCATTTTTCCGTAGTTTCAATTAATTTGTTATTTAAATACTCGTAAAACTCATTTAACAACTGTTTACCCAGCTTGAATAAGAAGCTTTCGGCACTGTAATCAAATGCAGCAGTAACAAGTAGTGTTACCACGTGTTTTCGTATGCTACCGCTACGATACAATGCAAGCTCCACGTGATAATCTTATTCATATACTTTCATAGTAAATCAATATTATAAAATAAGTATCCGTGCATGGTAAATAATAAGTTATGATAGAATGAATCTTTCAAATATTTTTTATACATTATTTGTAGATCTAACGGTTTAGCGTTGCATGTATGTTATACATCCCACGTTGTGTGTTTAATTGAATGATTACATCGGTGCGTGATCCGAGTATTAAAAGTGTTGATTTAAATTAAATATCAGTATAAAAACCGTACATGTTTGAAATATTAAATCTTTATTCACAGCAGTATCATTTTTTTAGTAAATAATTTGCTGAATATGCTAAGAATTACTTAAAAGTGCTATAGAGGATATTGTGTTGTGCTCATGGTGCTTTCAAGTTTTCTCAGGATGTAAATTATTTAGAAAAACATTTCCTGTTGTTCATTTATTGCTCCAGGCTTCTGTAAGAATTTTCTTCGAACTTCGGTACAAAGTAAGTTGACGTTATTTAAAATTAAGCTATTTTAGAAACTAAGGTTATGCTTCGTTGATCAGATTCGTACAAAGATTGAACAAAGTAAACTATGTAAGTATTACTGAATGAAATCAAATTCTTTTATGATTTTAATGCTGTCTTACAAGTAGAAAAATTAATAATGAACAATTTGTCGACCTTGATTTATTCTATCAATAATCTTTCTTTGAATTCAAAGCTGAAAATATCTTTGATAAATAAAAATAAACAGAATATTGAAGAGCATAAGAAATGCGAAAATCAAAAAAGTCGCGGTCATTCTACTTCTTTGTGTTCTTTATTTTCAGTTCGTGAAAGTAGTATGAAAAGGAAAGCTATGCACTCTTGAAATCGTTGTTTCGCAAGAACATAGGTATTTGGCCTACCATACCAATGAATCTCCCCGAACGCACACCTAGAGAATCTTAATACACTCTCATAAATTGACGTACAATAAGATCCAGCGTAGAACGTTTAATGGCCTTCAATAGGATTAATTTACGATCCACATATAAAACTGACTTGAACATCAGATCTTAAAAACTCACTGTTTATAATGTGCATATGTAAATCTGGACAGCGGCAGTAACAACAACAAATTAATTTGTGCTTTACATTAACGTCAAGCATGTTTCAAACGTGTAATTATAGGATATTGGTGTTTGATGTGCGTTATTACGATCCATAGATCAGTGTTCGTCGAGTTACAGCCTCTTCCTATGACATACGGTTTATTTACGCAGTATACATGTAAGAAGAAACTCGAATGACGGAATCATCCGCGCAGTTGCAATTATTTTTTAATTCAGTTAACAAAATTTCTGCGACATCCGGTTGGTTAATCCAGAGTAACGCCACTGTTACTCTGACCATCATATGCACAGCGTGTCTGAACTTTTGCGAGGAATGACGCATTTCATAACATATTTCCAAACCGTAATCTTATCACTTGTAAATTAAAATTGATTAATGGACTGTATCCAATAAAAAGAAAGAGAATATACCGCCGAGATGATTGTCCCGTATGTTTGCAATAGAAGGCTGGTAGTGTGTAGATTGTAAATGTTCTTTGCCGCGTGCACCACGTGGTTTCCAGTAGCTGGTAGCTGAGATATAGTTATGAGCCGACCTTTGCGGTGCTCGTATCGGTTCTTCATTGAGATTTAAATTACTCTTTCTCTTCTACTTATCGATAACACATTCGTGCGATGACCGTAGGCTCTTATAAAACATATTTCAAGTTCTACTCTCATTAGGTAGGAGACTGTGCATCTTTCCGCGAACTTTCAATTCTCGCGGCTAAAAGCCGACGAAATTGGAAAATTATTGGAATCAAGGTATTTCTTCCTAAACGTATTAAACGAATAATTTCTTCTCTCGAAATGAATCACGACGTTTAAAGAGAGACACCGAGGCAGGTCACATTTCGCAAAGTAATTACAAATTAAATCGCGACCACGAATGCCTTTTAAACGAGTTTTATAATTTTTGTGGATTATAACGTTTGAAGTTACTTGCACGAGGGATCTAGAAATTTGAATTGCATTGCAAACCTGTTCAATTGTTTTACACGCATCGGAACGTATTGCATCGTTAGCTAAGAAGCGAGTCAGTGAACTGTCCTCGGCGAATATCGTCTGTGGTTACTTAACGTATTGCAGTAGAAAGTTGGCGTTTGCCGTGGTCGAAGTGCAGTCGTTTGTACTGATATTTTCATTTCCGAAGGCGTTTTGTAAACGTTTTCGATCGTGACGGATCGTGGTGTAGTGCGGAAAGGGTAACCGTCGGACCGGTCGGATCTATGGATTTCGAAGAAGCGACCAGTAGGGTTTTTTCAAGATTCACGTGTTTCATTCAAAGTTCATACGTTTGTCGAAGTGAATAAAGGGTGATCGAAATGAGAACGAGCAGTTGAGCAGTGACCAACACGCTTTCGTAGATAAACAAAATAACAGACTCAGCAGATAGTTTACTTTTCATCCGGTGAGGAAAACATCGCGTGAAGATGGACGGTTTCATTGAGGTTTTTCTCTTCTTCGGAGTCCTCTTTTATTTCTTCAACTTCAGGTAACGTGTATTCATTCCCTTCCTGTCGTGCATGTTGCAGAAAACGGACGTTCCGTTCCGGTTTTTTGCCAACGAAGTTGCAGGTTTAGAATTAAAAACGTGCTGCCAATAATCATGCTAATTACACGAAGGATAACACGCGCTACAGTCACACACAGTCATGTCATACCAGTTGTACACAAATTTTGTTAAAGTATAGTTATTATTATACAATATATAACGGACATTACATAATGTACATTTTTAACGAACATTTCGAATTTGCATGATCGGAGCGGGCAAGATAAATTCTAATCGTTCGATGCTTTCATGGCAATGAAATGTTATAAGAAGTTCTTTGATAACCCGATCTTCCAAGATACCGTCATGCGTGTATCATTGAAATTTTTTCTCGTGTAATAAACTGTATGCTGCGTAATAGCCCATATCTAAGCTCTAAACTAAAATTTAACATTAATAGAGAAATGCGATAACGCGTTTAATTGAGCGTTCCGTTCCAAAAATGCGTAATTACGTATTACGTTATTACATATCGTAATATACATTACGAAAAATGCGATTTATGATATATTATTTATTCATTGTCATGTCGGTATACAGAGAAACAGCTGTTTGTGGTATTAAACCTAATTGATTGGATGTTCTCGCAGCTTTTGATATAATTTTTATCAGCTTGGACTTTGACTATTGTTGTCGACGCGTGCTCTAACTAAGCCGAGGTAAAGAGTTGTAAACAAAAAGAAATAGCATCATTGTCTCTGGTTTCCACTTGAAACGGTACAACGTTCAAAGTAGATAACCATAAAAGATAGGCGAAATAAAACGAGACATTCTGTCTGTAGGAAGGGCGCTCGCTTAATTATTTCCCCCTATTGTTGTGGCTGTATTCATATTCTATCTGCACAATTATGTGTCCGCAAACAGATCAATTTGCTAATATACATAAATGCCATTTATTTCCGACATGGAACGTGACATTTAATATTCATTTATGTAAGCGACGCACGATATATTTCACGGGAACTATGTAATTCAGATCGTATGGTCAAGTATCTCTTTTCTCATACGACATCGATTTAATTGTTTCATAAACTTGCTGCAATATTCAATAATGCCCACCATGAGTTCCGCATTGATAATAATTAGTCCGGTTCGCTCAAGACCCAATTTTATCTCGTGCCTTAGTTGAATTCTTTAATCCTTTCTGTGCAAGACCTTTGATTTCGTGGGGTCACTTTGTCTATACTGATCAATTGATCAATCATTTCTTATCATATCTGTACCGCCTTTGTGTAATTCTTCATCTTAATTAATTTGCAAAAACGTAGAATGTTGAACATCAGAGACATTTCTCAATAGAAAACCGCATTCGCTATTTATTCGACTGTATCGACCTGTTAAGGATGTATTGGCTATAGAGTCAATCCCAAAAGTGTATGTACCTTAGAAAAACGCATTTCCTATAATTAAAAAGAAATCAGACGTCGGAAGAATAATGCTAATAATAAATAGCTACGTCCTAAAAAGTATAGAAGGAAATATCCAATTAAGTATTGACGCTGACGAAAATTTTTTTTTTTTCAAGATTGCGAAAAATGCTTCAAATAAAAGTTGTTTTCCTTCTAACTTCGATATTTAACGAGTTACGTATGATTATTTGGCATTTTATTGATGTTGACAAAATCCGACCATTCCACCGTCGAAACGGCGAACTTTTGGAAAAAAATTTCGTTTTTCCTCAATAACTCCTAAACCCCTGGAGATACGGGAAAATTGCATACGATCTTTCTT